GGATGCTGAAGAAACTCGAACTACAAGGATTTAACGCGTTGAACAACAATTTAACGCGTAAAAATAGTTTTAACGCGTTAAATGCTATCACGTTAAATGTATACTTTTATCGCGTTAAACAATCAAAAATATTTTAACGCGATAAAATGCTTCCCAAGTTTAACGCGTTAAATGTTGTACTTGTTTTTTTAACGCGTTAAAGTGTCATAAATGAATGGACCAATCACATGTGCAGTTACATACAGTACTTAAGCATGGCTGATGAATGCTGTTCTGGTAAGATGGCTGGAATCGGCTGAGATGAGGTCAATTTACATGCATTGCAATAAAGATTCAGTCCTGAACAAATATAAACTTCCAAATCGGTGCCCAAAATTATACTTTTCATCGGGTCCGGATAAGACGGTGGATTTTTTGCTCTTTCCGATGTATAAGATTTATCTGTATATAACGTAAGTAGATGACATTGGTTACTATTTTATAAAACTAGTTTGTTAACTGAAAAACGTCTAACTTTTTGTTAACAAATAACTAGCAGTAAATTGCAGACAATATAATTGGTACATATATTGTTCAAGGTCATGAGGTTGAAGCTCACGGTCACTAGATACAAATAAAACATGAAACATGGCAAGAATCTGAATTTTCGAATTTCCATAAAAACGGTACACTTTTTGTATAAACAAATATATAAGAAAGCTATAGGAAGTTATGCAAGGAATATTTCCGCAAAGTTTCTATGTCACAGGTTCAAATGTCAAGGTCGTGGACACTTGGGGAGACTGAAATTGCAAATTTTCCTAAAAAAGGTACACTTTCTGTATAAACATAAACTAGTCGCAAAAAGTAATACGAAAAATGTTTTGGCAAAGTTTCGAGGTCATAGAGGTTAAAGTTAAATGTCACTGACACTTCAGAAGACCAAAAAATGCCCAATTTCTCATTAACGGTACGCCTTTTGTATACACTTCTACATTTCCAAAATTGTAGAAAAATATTTCAGCCAAGTTGTAAGGTCACGTGGTTAAAGTCCAGAGTCATAGACACATCAGGCGACTGAACATGCCCATTTCCCCCAAAAAAGGTAGACTTTTTGTTTACACATATACATTAGAAAGTTGTAGGTAATTGTGACAAGATTATTTTGACGAAATTTCAATTTTCTCAGAAACCTAGCACCCATTGAATTTAGTTGCGGAAACAGGCGAAGACAGCTGTGAATGTAATCGCTTCAAAATTAAACTAGTTCTGAAACTTATGTGATATACAATATTTTGTTGATAGGTCATATTATTCACATCAGTGTAATTGATGTGGCACAAGAGAAGGCAGCGTTTCTGACCGATGACCCATTTGAGAACATAGTAGCGGCTGTAAAGTCCATGGAGCAGGAACTACTGTCTTCTTGTCGCGATCCAGGTATGGTACACATAATAGCTCCGACAGCTCTTAGCAGCTGGTTTACGTAAGAGGTGGTGGGTGCCGGAATGGACCACTCAAACCAGGTTACCTTGGGTGCACTTTGCGTTAAGCTCCATTTATTAGCAAATATAAGTCGCATGGTTATCAAACTTCATGTGTATTCACCCTCAGAGTACTAGGTTGAGGCTACCCAAAATGGAACACTTTTTAAAGAAAAATATTAATATTAAGTTTCTGAAAGACTGATTTTTTTTTTACTGTAATGAAGCAATACATGCCTTAAGCCTTCATCTTATGTATTTTTTGGGTATCAACAGCATGTGTGTCTATTTATAGAGCTCATTAAAATGCGTCAGGTTCACTTAGAATTTGTTTGCTGGTCGAGTACCCAAAATGGAACACTTAATCATATACTATTAGAAAGTCAGTTTATGAAAATGACTTCAAAGCATTTTAATAAGTTTCTTAATTAAACAAACTTTTGACAATTTCTGACAAATTTTACTCATTTATTCCCTAACAATTCATTTGATCATATAGTTTTCCATGTTAAGAAATATGATCGAAAATGTATGCTTTCGCATCGTACTGTTTCCCTGGATTAGTAGGTGATCTTCTTTCATCCCAAGGGTGTAGGGTGAGGGTACCCAAAATGGAACTGTACCCAAAATGGAATACTTTGATAAAAATTACACAGGAATTGTTATGCAATAAGATATAATGGTATTATTCTAAATCAAAATTTAAATAGTTTTATGCATTTTTAACAAATAGCATTTGCCTACTTCTTAAACATTGCTCATAAACTCAATTGAAATAATAAAAAAAAATGAAATAAAAAAATCCAAGGAAACAGTACGATGCGAAAACATTTATATCATGGTTTGCATCCGACCCTCAGCAACTATAAGTTGCATTTTGGTTTCACAATGCTGATATGCAAGGACGCATCTGATTGGTTGTCAAGTTTAACGCGTTAGCATTTAACGCGATAAAATATTTTTTTGTCGCAATAAACATGTATTTAACGCGTAAAATGCTAACGCGTTAGGGCTTAACGTGATACAAGTGTCTATTTAACGTGATAGCGTTTAACGCGTTAAAACTATATATAACCCGTTAAATTANCTTCTTAAACATTGCTCATAAACTCAATTGAAATAATAAAAAAAAAAATGAAATAAAAAAAATCCAAGGAAACAGTACGATACGAAAACAGTTATATCATGGTTTGCATCCGACCCTCAGCAACTATAAGTTGCATTTTGGTTTCACAATGCTGATATGCAAGGACGCATCTGAGTGGTTGTCAAATTTAACGCGTTAGCATTTAACGCGATAAAATATTTTTTGCCGCAATAAACATGTATTTAACGCGTTAAATGCTAACGCGTTATAGGGTTTAACGTGATCAAAGTGTATATTTAACGTGATAGCGTTTAACGCGTTAAAACTATATTTAACCCGTCAAACTCTTGTTTAACGCGTCAAATGATGTTTAACGCGTTAAATGCTAACGCGTTAGTTTATCTCGTTTTTGACATAAACGGCCTTTCATATTTAAGAGTGCTATAACGCACCAAAAATCAAAGCTCTCTCTCTCTCCTGTTGTATAAAAACCGGAACCGGGTTCTACAACGTACAGATACAGATACAGATCACCGACTTAGATAGCATCTAATTCCGTGGTAATATTATACGTCTCTGCTNTTAAAAAAATCAGGTATCTCTGGGAAATTATTATCTTGGTGTGAAAATTATTTATCTGACAGAAGTCAAAGAGTTGTTATAAATGGGCTTTCTTCGGAAACTTACAATATTAAAGCAGGCGTACCTCAAGGTTCAATCTTAGGTCCTCTATTCTTTCTAGTTTATATTAATGATATAGTGAATGATATTAATTGTAAAATAAAATTATTTGCTGATGACACTGCCTTGTATATAATAGTTGACAATCCTACCGTCGCTGTTAATACTATAAATAATGATCTTTCAAGGATACACACATGGGCAAACAAGTGGTTAGTAAAATTCAATCCAGACAAGACAGAATTGTTATTAATAAGCAGGAAAACCATACAAGGAATTTATGATCCTATAACTATGAACAATATTAATGTATCTACTGTAAAATCTCATAAACATTTAGGAGTTTTGTTGGGGGATGATGGTTCTTGGAAAAATCACGTTGATTATATATTGAAAAAAGTATCACCAAGACTAGCTGTATTAAGAAATTTAAGAAACACTCTTGATAGGAATTCTCTTCAAACAATATATTTTTCTTTTATTAGACCAATTTTGGAATATTCTGATATTGTCTGGGACAATTTACCAAACTATCTATGTCAAAATTTAGAAAACGTCCAGATAGAAGCTGCGAGAATAGTTACAGGTGCTACAAAATTGTCAAGTGTTAGTTTATTGTATAAAGATGTGGGCTGGGAAAAATTATCTAATAGACGGGAAAATCATAAAATCTTACAGTTCCACAAAATGTATCATAAGAAAACTCCATCCTATCTCTCAAACTTAATCCCAGGGAAAGTATCAGATAGTCATATGCATAATACTAGAAATTCAAACAATTTACATTCTGTTAGATGTAGAACTCAATTTTATAAAGACTCGTTTTTAAATTCCTCAGTACAATTATGGAATGCATTATCTGTAGATATTCGTGAAAATCCGTCCGTTAACATAATTAAAAGTTTTTTACGAAAGGATAAAGTAATAATACCTCAATATTTTAATATTGGAAGTAGACATCTTCAAATTTTACATACACGATTAAGGCTTAAATGTAGTAATCTTAAACAACACTTATACATAAGAAATTTAGAGGAAAGTCCATTATGTAACTGCGGATTAGTTGAAAGTACCCATCATTTTTTACTATCTTGTGACAATTATACCACAATCAGACAAAATACACTACATCAGTTAGATATTATTCTTACTGAAAAAACACTTCTATGGGGTAATGATATTTACTCCAAACAGAAAAATGAGGAAATATTTTTGACAGTCCAAAATTATATTAAACTAAGTAAACGTTTTAGCTAATATTTTTGTACCAATTGTTTTAAATATGGAAACTTAGTGTGCTGTATCATTTAACGGTATTCAATACAATAAGGTGACCTGAACATACAGACTAGCAATTTATGGCGTCATAAATCATGTCTATTATCAATTCTATTCACCACATGTACATGTATATATGTTATCTGTTAAACCTTATTATTATTCATTCCATATTGAAATAAGGTGTACTCCAGTACCGAAGATTCATTTGCCTTTTGATTTGTTTGGGAAAGGAATTAATATAAGCTCCAAACTTGTTTTCCCATCCCATATTTACAGTTGTACTTGTAATATTGTTGATTATATTGAATAAAATATTGTTTAAACTAAGGTAATAGAAAATGATATTAAGATACAATCGAAACCTCTTTACTTGTAACAGAGACTTATAAATATACTATGGCTTTATATGTCTCTGCTTGTAACTTACACTATAACCTTTGACTTAATGATCAGGCCTAACTAGCGATAAATAATGTCACTAAACGCGTGTTTCCGGTTAATACCAACTAACAAATACAGCCGCCATTCCGCCCTGCAGAATATTAGCCGGTTGTACACAACGAGCTTAAAATGTCCAATCCGAAAGTATTTTTCGATATGACAATTGGAGGTGCATCGGCTGGGAGAATTGAGATGGAGTTAAGAGCAGACGTTGTTCCAAAAACAAGTGAAAACTTCAGAGCACTTTGTACAGGTGAAAAGGGAACAGGAAAGAGTGGAAAGCCATTACATTTCAAAGGCTCATCATTTCATCGTGTCATCACAGACTTCATGTGCCAAGGAGGGGACTTTACGAGAGGAAATGGGACCGGAGGAGAAAGTATCTACGGAGAAAAGTTTGCGGACGAAAACTTCACGCTAAAGCATACTGGACCGGGTATTTTGTCGATGGCAAATGCAGGCCCAGGTACGAACGGCTCACAGTTTTTCCTGTGCACTGTAAAAACAGCATGGCTGGATGGAAAGCATGTGGTATTCGGCAGTGTTACAAAAGGGATGGAGGTTGTGAAGGCAATAGAAAAAGTTGGCTCAACAGGTGGAACGACAAGTAAACCTGTTGTGATTGCTGACTGTGGGCAACTTTAGAGTCTGCAATGTAACATTCAATATTGCATAAGTGCACAGGAACTTGGAAGTTCCTGTGATTAGTGTCACCCTGGGAAACCGTGCTTATACAGGAAACATTGGATGAAAAGAAACACTTGGGACAGAAAGTGCTATCATAGTTATTCTCTTTGCTTTGTGCTTAAAGATATTGTATTTTCAAAGAGCATCCTTTGATGAAATCATACTGTAGAACAAAATAAAATTGTCGAAATTTACAGTATTTCTTATATATTTCTCTCTTTTAAAGCACAGGAACTTGAATTTCTATCAGAATGGTCTATTTAAGCTCAGAGAACTGATTACGCCCAATATATCCCCCCCTTACCGTAGGGGGCCCTTACCTATGGGTAGGGTGGTATATATTGGGCTTAATCAGTTCTCTGAGCTTAAATAGACCATTTTGATAAAAATTCAAGTTCCTGTGTTTGAAGGGACAATTTCGTGAAGTAAGTTTTTTAGCCCGCCATCAGATGATGGTGGGCTATTCAAATCACCCTGCGTCCGTGGTCCGTTGTCTGTCGTCCGCCGTCCGTCGCTTAACAATTCTTGTTATCGGTATTTCTCAAGAAG